TTGAGATGAAAATCATTGGTATATCCCCTTACAAGTTACAACCTCTGTTTTAATTATCATTATTTTACCAAATAGGCGTTACTTAGCTGAATCCAACCAGTTTAAGTCGCCTGCATTGACGAAGACGTGGCAATAAGATAATACTTGTACTGCGTTCTTAGCTACAAGAAAGTACACGTTGTATTGATTAAAACAATGTCATACAATAGTTATGTTATATGACCCAAAATAATGGAATGATAATAACTGACGCGGCTTTAAAGACGGCAAAATTAAAAGTAATCTTAACAAATATTTTTAAAAGTGCACGGATAAAAATTTTATCATTTATTCTTGATTCATAACTTTTTTAATTAAATAATTACACTAATAAAAAAATATTTATTAAGAATAAAAGATAAACGTCTAGATTCATGCACACGGTAAATTTTCTATTTTTTCCAAAAAAACCCCACAACAAGAAGACCCTAAGCAAGGAAGAAATAGCAACAAACGAAACATGACAAGATTGAGTGAAAAAGCCATAGACGCTGGATACATATATACATAAGCTGGAGATCTATATATAAAAGCTCTACTATTTTTGCAACCAAAGTGCATACATAACGTAACACAACACACAGAACACCTTCAATGGCAAGCCGCTTGCAAAGCAAGAGGTCTTTTGACGTCGCACCGGATAACAACTCTCTTGAATCGCTCTCCTTTGCTGGTCTAGTATGCATTCAAGATCAGAAACTGAAGTCCCCACCCACTAACAACCACCGAATTTGTGAACAAGACGGAGAATTTGCTTTTTCTCAGACTAGGCAAGGCCCAACTGCGACTGATCGGAGCACGTACACTCCTGCTGATCTGTTGATCTCCAATGGCAAGCTTATACCACAGGCTTTCGTATTCCAACCGAAGCAGCGTCCAAAGCACAATCATCCCCGCCGGAGAGGCTCGTCGCCAGCAACTTCCATTGCCGGCAAGAGATCAGTAGCTAAAACAGGTGTCCAGGAAGTGCATGATAAGCAAAAGCAACACAGAAACCAAGTACACGAGGAGAATTCCACATCAGGATCAGGATTTGGCTGGAAACTTTTCAAGTCATTCGCTTCTCCATGTAGAGAATGCAAAGCCGCTAAGCCGATAGTGGTGTCGCAAGCAATTCCACGAGGAAGCTTGAAGTTAAATTAACTCAGAAGCTCTTTATCCCTTCTACAATATTCAATTTCAATCTGAGATTCATTTCAGTTATACGAGAACAATAAATAGCTTAGCATCAGAGGTAATAGGCTTTTAACGAAACCCGAGGTTTTATGATTAGCAACTTGAATAAAAGTTGTAATAAAATGACTCATCTTTTTAGTTTTACTCTAATAAGATTTTAAAATATGAATTTTGCCTAGCCAAGCACTTAACAAATAATTAATCATCCACCTTTTATGCAATTCTAAAGCTCAAATTAATGACAAACGCCCGGAACTGCACCCCCACCCCCCGATGTTATTTCAACCTCTTGACACTTGAACTCACCAAAACACTGTTTAATATATATATATATATATATATATATATATATCTCTGTGCGTGCGTGTGTGTGTGTGTGTAAATGACACCTTTACCTGAAGTTCGCAGCATAATTCCAAAATTCATTTCATAGGAACAAAATAAGTTTCTGCCTTCTCTATATTAACTAGAAATTCCTTAATTTGTCTCTATATAAACCATCTGGACCATAAAATCATTCTACAGCATGTAATTAAGTGGTTCTCTTTATTCGTCCCAAGCACAAAATCATGCCTAGGCACAATTTGTCAAGTTGTCGTACTCTTTCTTGTGTTAATCAACTAAGGAAGCAGAAATATATTGTTCAAAAGGTCCCCAAAAGGGAACCACGTGTTGGATGTGGAGCCAAATCAACAAGACAACGGTGAAAAAGGAGAAGAAAAACGAAGCAACGCCACAGCCCCGGTCAGTGGGCGCCACCATGCCAAGAGAGCTGCACAGGCCTTCTTGTAAACGCGGAAATCGCAGCAAGGCTGCGGAGCCAGTTCGGGTGTTCTATTTTTGGACTCTTTCATAATTTTTCTTAAGACTCCTATAAATACCTATTAGGGTTTTATTTGTTTTTTGGGAGAAAAAGTGAGTGTTGAGAGGTTAAAACCCATTGAGAGTAAGAGAAACACAAGAGTGATTGAGTGATTCTCTATAACAAACTTTTTCAACAAATATAGTGGAAATCTGTGGCAGCAAAAACAAGACGTAACTAAATTGGTGAACCTGTATAAAAATTCTTAGTACAATTGATGTCTAGTAGTGTTTCAACGAGTTGACTATTAGAGGAGAATGTTTGTGCTAAGGTTTCATTTTTCTATCTTTTTTGTCTGAGAAAATTGCTACATTTACCCTTAGAGTGCATGAGTCTGGATTTTGATCCCTTACTCTTGATTAATACCCTTTTGACTAATATAGTTATTTGACAAAAAAAAGTCAAGAGTAAGGAGTAAAAATTCAGAATCATACACTCTAAGAGTTATTTGTCTTATTTTCCCTTTTTATCTAGACTCCCAACCCAATAGAAGAAGCCCTGGGTTGCTCAGTGAAGTCTTTGGCAGTAGGTACAGCTCCCTCATCACATATCTATAGATAGTGCCTAGAGCGTGTGGTTGGGTGATCGACGATGAAGGTGGGTGTCGCGTAGTGCTCACAGGTGTGTTGCTCGAGGTGGATCTAGCATATTTGGTGGATCTGAGCCCTAGGGGTGGTCGCTATGGTGTAGGGGCAGGGGTGCTTGCCTTGTTGGCATTTTTCTATCTTTTTTGTCTGAGAAAATTGCTACATTTACCCTTAGAGTGCATGAGTCTGGATTTTTATCCATTACTCTTGATTAATACCCTTTTGACTAATATAGTTATTTGACTAAAAAAAGTCAAGAGTAAGGAGTAAAAAATCAGAATCATACACTCTAAGAGGTATTTGTCTTATTTTCCCTTTTTATCTGGACTCCCAGCCCAATAGAAGAAGCCCTGGGTTGCTCAGTGAAGTCTTAGGCAGTAGGTACAGCTCCCTCGTCACATATCTATAGATAGTGGCTAGAACGTGTGGTTGGGTGACCGACAATAGAGGTGGGTGTCGCGTAGTGCTCACAGGTGTGTTGCTCAAGGTGGATCTAGCATATTTGGTGGATCTAAGCCCTAGGGGTGGTTGCTATGGTGTAGGGGCATGGGTGCTTGCCTTGTTGGGTATTTATCAACGATAGAGGATGGTTCTCCAGTGCCGACATGGTGGCATTTTCTAGCTAGTGGCTTTGTCTCATTTCGGTGTTGCTTGTTCAAGTCCATTTGGTCGAGTCCGCTCGTTTTGTGTCAATGGTCTAACTGTGTTGTTGGAGTTGCGTCTCCTTTTAATTGTTGTCGCTTATCTTTAATAAATGCGATGTTGTTCTCACCTTATATGTTGCCAATGTGTTTCCGATTTTGTTTTATAATAACAAAGAAGGTTTTCCCACCTTCTACTTTTGTTTGTGTTTAGCCTCGTTTGAGTTGATTCCGGGCAATGTGGGTGTCTAGTATCACTAAATTTGTATCTCTGCGGTGTTGTGGCTAGCCTTGCTGCTATTGATTTCTAGTTTTCATCAGTTATGCTTGAAACTTCATGTCTTTTATCAGAATAAGACATACGTTTTTCCCCTCGAGCATCATTCGAACTAACTGGTGGAACCGATCATTATTGGGGGTTGAGATACCTTTGTATCTTAGGGTCATTCACGTCAATTGTATTAATTATGTCACTTTGTTATCGAATGAAAATCCCTCTTTAATCTCACAAATGGTCCTTGAGGTTTACCCTCAATCCCACTTTAGTCCCTGACTTTTAAAACGTCTCACAATTAGTTTATGAGGTTTTGCTTTGTTTCAGTTTCAGTCCATCCGTTAGTTAGGTGTTTACATATTTGATGAAATCTATGAAAATTAAGGACCACAATTAAAATCATCTAAAATTTAAGGACTAAAACAATACAAATAACATCAATTAATTTCCACATATAGTCTCTAAATTTTAACTGTTTTCAATTTTAGTCCCTAATTACATAAGTTCTATCAAATATTTAACATTCAGATAACGGAAGGACCGGAATTGAAATAGAGTAAAACTTTAAGAACTATGAGACATTTTAAAAGTTAGAAACTAAAGTGGAATTAAGGGTAAACTTCAGGACCATTTGTAAAATTAACCAAAAAAAAAAAAAAAACAAGGTACCTGAGTATGACAACACATAAAATGATACGAATAAATTGCGGAAAACTTAAGTCCTAACCATTAGTTATGATGGTCAGTAGTCTTTACGGTAATACCATTGAGGCTGATAAACTCTGGTGGCTCCTCAATGCAAAGATCCATGCGTAAGAAAATAAAATAATAAGAAATTATTTTTAACTGTCCCAGAGAACTTACACATTGACATCAACTGAAGCAGTGTAAAAGAACTTGAGAGTGTTTGATTGGAGGGCGAGGATGGACAGAGAGGTGGGGGGAGAGGGTCAATCCATTATTTGGTTGGAGGGAGTAGAGGATAGAAATGTAAGATGGCCCACCATTTTGAATCCTTCACTTAGTAGAAGGATTCAACAAATCCATCAAATTCAAGTGAAAATACTATTTTATCCTCCAAATGAAATTATTAAAAAACAAATAGTAAAATAGATAATATAACAATTAGACTTATAACTATCATCTATGCTTTCAATTTTCCTTTCCTTCTTACCAACAACGGAAATGATTATCATAATCCTCTCCATTCTTCACATTCCTAATCTCTCCAACATCCCTCATACACTCTCCATCCCTCCAACCAAATGAAGCCTAAGAGCTACCCAAGATAGACTAAATTGAGCAGAGAGCCGTTTGGCATTTATGAGGTTTCAGTGTCAAGTAAGCCGGGCTACAACTGCCAACTAAAGCATCTGCAGTTTTAAGGCATTGCCCATGTATTGGGAGAACTAAAATCTGTCCATCTCACACAACTAAACAGGGGGAAAAAAACAGTTTATTTCAGATGGATCAACTGATTGGGAAAAAATAAATAAAAAACTGTACTTAACTAAATGATATCACCAAAATTCACAGCATTCTACTTACGTAAGAGGAGCCCCAAACAACATGTTCTTGACTTCCAATTAACAAACACTGTTCAAACTTAAACAAAAGATATTACACTTGGCCTAGCGCTTAAAGTTTGCCGTATATTTCTGTGTATCCCTGCAAATAAAATAATTAGTTGTCAAATTCTTAGCAAATACTGTAAAAAGAACCCAAGATCTATGCATTATCTAGTATATTCACTCACCTCAATGAGCTTATCTATTTTTGGACGGGACGAAGCAAGGAATTGCATAACTAATTCCATAGAAGTTGGCATCTGATCGGGCTGCAAGGTGCTAAGAACCTTCTCAACTGCTTTTTTAACAATCTTGTTATGCGCATCCTTGCTGAGAAGACCCTCACGCCATTTTGGTTTCAAAGACTCTTTCACTGAATCTATAAGAGCAGCTCGGAATTGCCTCAGTGCTTTGGATTCTTTATCCACACCCCCTTCCATGATATGCCCGGCCTCCATTTTGTTTTTTTGTCTGAAGCTATCTATTTTCACATCCACACTATCCCTTGGACCAAGCCTTTGGTGTCTACCATCACTCTTTGCTGCTGTGATATCTTTGGCAGCAGATGAGCCCAAGGAATTCTCTTGTTTTAGCAAGTTCCTATGTTTCCTGTCACTAGAAGTTCCCACAACCTCTACTTCAGCTGTTTGCATATCTTTCCCATGGTTTGTATTGTGAGAAGATACAGACATTGTCTCATCTTTACATGCCAGGCCTCGGGGCTCTGAAACTACATCGCCACTGTCTTGTTGGTGTGACGAATTTAAAATTGATGATCCTTGGCTATGGAGAGAAGCTCTCAAGGACGTTTCACCCAACTTGGGTAACTCAATACTATCGCGAAGAGGATCATACTTGCTTCCTGGAGGTGATATCAAAGAACGAAGTAAGAAAGATGGTCGAAAGGGGACGGATGGCTCCCAATCGTTCGAAGAAATTTTACGCTTTGTTGATTTCAACTTATCACCAGAAAAGTGAGAAGAGCCCTGAAGCAAGGAAGACGAGCTAGAGCCAAGATGACTTGCATTTAAAGAGGAATAACTAAATGGCAGTAACGATCCTGTCCATGATGAGACTTGGTTAGATGCAAGCGTGCCAGTAGCTAAAAGAGAATTACTAGCGCTTGAATTTCGAGGATGGCTAGATAGTGATGAAGGCAGAGAATTGTATGGCGGTTGGCATTGTACGCTAGCCAGATCCCCCACAATTCTAGAATGAGAAGATGGATTCATAAAGTGATGACTTGAAGAAACTGTGTATTCAGGACACAACCTGTCCCTGAAAACAGAGCCACGGTTGCCATAGTCATTAGCAGATCTGTTTTGCCCTTTCCTGTCTATTCCTATATCCTTAAATGAGAAAGGAAATGATTCGTCTCTCTGAAGCAATGGTAACTTGGGTAATTTGGGCAAATGATGCGAGGTTTTGCTTTCTATGTGATCCCATGGCTGGATCCTTTGTGAAGAAAACAGAGACTTATTTCCAACTGAAGCAGCTAGAGGGTCACCAGGCGACCTTGCTGTCTGAGTAGTTTCTTTTAAACCTGTTACAGGATAAGGTGATTATTAGAAACATCTTCAAGAAGGTTCTTAAGACACGCTAGAAGATACATGATATACCTTCAAGTTGGACCTCTCTTTTACAATCTGCAGCAACCTCTCCCTCACGTCGTGGAAGTTCCTTATTCTGATGATCTTTTACGTGAAGAAACCTACATGAACTACCTTTAATGCACCAACCTTTGGCATAAAAGTCGCAGATGATTGCTGGGCGTTTATTTTGATCCTTAATCTCAGTACCAGGTGTGAGACTTCTAGTCTCTATCCCAGATGAAGCCAATCTGAAAATCGGAAAGGTTAGGAGTAGGTATAAGGAGTATTTTGGAACAGGTAAATAGAAGACCACATAAGAGATAGGAAACGGCCTAAGCCAATACTTTGGTTCTTTGAAAAGAAAGGTTCAAGAGCAAACTGGACTAGTAGAATCCAACCTTGACGCAATTTCCGTTCTATCATCACCAGACTGCATGTCCATTTGCTTAGTCTCACCATGTGAATGTGGCACATCTTTCCTTCCAAAAAAACTATTCATCTGCATAGCAGCAACCATCTCTTTTCCATCAGCGCTGGATAAAATGGAGGTTTTAGACAAATCAGCATTGCTATTGGAATTTGGATTTGTGTAGTTTGTAGAAGAGTTCTTTTCTGAAACGGTTCCAGCATCTTTCTTATCAACCACAACTTCTACACTTCTATTCGTCTCAGCAAGAGCCACATCAAGCCCAAAGTCCCCTCTGGTAGATGAACCTGATCCAAAGCCCCCATCTCTCTGAGATTTCACGTTTTCTCTAGCATCTACACGAAGAAAAATAAATCAAGAACTAGGAGAATCTTAGTTTCTAAAGTTAAATATTGTTTTTTAGAGTATTTTTGAAAAGTAATTGCTACACGCTAATGTGGACTCAAATGACGTCAAAACATAAGAAGACTTAACCCTGATCACAGACCAAATCCACCGTGAGTTCCAATAAAACGCACAAGGGGAAATTGTGCATTGAATCCAGGCAGAAAGACACCAAAAGGGCACACTAACAATCGAACGCGCAAATGGCTCTTCCAATAATACCTCTATAATCGATGGAACACTTCGATTGATAATGTTTTGCTAATGCGGCCAAGGACAAAAAGAATGGAAAATGACTTCCGTACTAAGGATCTCAATAGGGGATTCATTGCTGAGAGAAAAATTGGGTTATTCCGCTTGTTGAAAAACAAGACTGAAAAATAAGATAAATTGGAGAGACGAGGTTTTCTCGCCAACAACGTGGGATTTGACCCCCTGTTAGTTAGTATGAATAAAAAGAAAAGATAGGGGGGTCAAGAAAAAAACGAATCTTCTTCTCCTGTCATCCATAAGATTTTACCTAGACCAAGAGACTTTATGTACAAAGGTCACTCACAGTACCGCATAAACCAACTCTAGCGGCTTGGACACAAACACCGGAGTGGGGAAACCACCATGTTATTACATGGCAAAATCTCAAACACAAAACGCAAAACCTATTTGGTGAAAACAACATCACTTTTAGTTTAACCACACAACAACCAAAAGAAACACTCCGAGAGAACACGAACAAAACCACTAGCAACAAGCCAACCAACACGACCAAAGAGGGTAGACAAGACAGTGCCGCAGGAGACGAGAACACCACAAGAGAAGCACCACCACAACACCAGCAGAAACCATCGCAACTCCACCACCAACGCTGAGCGCTTATCCACGCATAACATCACCCACCTCCATGACCATCGCGACGAGGAGAACAAGGCCTCGATGTTGCAAGGTTGCCAAAGTTTCGATGTGCATAGCTCAGCGGACCAAAAGCCCAGCAAGGAGACGAGAACACCACAAGAGAAGCACCACCACAACACCAGCAGAAACCATCGCAACTCCACCACCAACGCTGAGCACTTATCCACGCATAACATCACCCACCTCCATGACCATCACGACGAGGAGAACGAGACCTCGATGTTGCAAGGTTGCCAAAGTTTCGATGTGCATAGCTCAGCGGACCAAAAGCCCAGCCCCTCCCATCTGGCTTGTGAATTGCATGCCTTTCGACCACAAAGCAGACACCACCACGAAACTTCGTCGTGGAACCTAGAACTCCGTCCCTAAGGCCAGGAATCTGAAGGCCAGACAAGATGGGGCCGGACTCTGGCCCTAAAGGAGAGAAATAGGCAGCGGCATAAACTCTAGCACTCACGAGAAGAGAGAACACGGGGAGAGAGAGAGAGACAGAGACGCGCTTTTTAGTCCACAAAGACAAAAAAATGATCCCATTCTAAAGTTTAATATTGAAGCCAATACGTCTTGAAATGTTATCAAAACGGAGTTAGAGCATCTCTAACCATGAGAGTCATTTTATGTCTTAAGTAAAATTGGCTTATGATTTAACTTTTTTTTAGCTTTTCTCCACTCCAACCATTAGCCAAATGGTTAGCTATTTTGGAGAATGCATTTCACACTAGCTAAATATAGCTAGCAAGAAGGGGCTACGCATTTAATTTTTTTCTATTATTTGATTCTTTCAAACAAAAATAAATGCAAGGGTTCTTTTTTAAATTTAATAAAGTTGTTTATATTTTAAATTCAATAAATATTAAAATAATCTATGTTTAGCTAAAATAGAGAGTATGGTTGGAGTGGCTTACCCAAAAAAAAATTGCTAGCTAAGAAAGCTATTTTGACTAAAATTTAGGGAGTTCCCTTGGAGATGCTCTTAATGCTAAATGCCTAGTCTAGTAGTTTCGAATAACAAAAGTTGTGTAATGCAACTTCGCAGTTTTGTGGCAATGCAAAACCAGACAAATATTGTGGTTGCAAACTGTGGAAAAATTATCTTTAACATTATCTTCTAGAAGCAAGCATTATCTCCTAAGGATTATGACCGGCTAGGGCTAGGGATCATGTGATTATCTATTTCCTAGATTCTAGGTGATCGGCTACCAACAGAATTAGAGATAAGTTCTTTTCTCCAATGAGTTTATCTAACTCGTGTATATATATTAGCCCTTTAGTGGCTTGTGTAAATTATTGGAATTAATAAAATATTTGTTCCTCATTCTTTTCCACATGGTATCATAGCCATAGGTCTTTTTTTTTTTCTAGAAATAAATCTTTTTTTTCTTCGGCCTTCATAGCTGAATTTCTCTTAATTGCCTTCACCGCAGTTCCTTTTTTTTCCCATTACAGTTTTTTTCTTCCACAATTTTTTTTCCCTGAATTTGTCTTTTCTTTGTGGATTACCCTCTTTTATGTTTCCTGTTTTGCAGATTACCCTCTTTCTTGTGATCCCACATCCGAATAAATCAGAGATGTCAGAAACAACCTCTTCGACTCCCTTGGTTCAAACAACCCAACAGCGTGAGGAAGAACAGATTCAGCGTTCTTCGGGCGATTTCCAGAATATACAGACAGCCTATAGACTCAATGGCAGAAACTACCTAAAGTGGTCACAATTGGTTCGGACTTTTCTAAAGAAAAAGGAAAATTAAGTCACTTACTTGGGACTGGACCGAAGGAAGGAGATGCTAGATTCGAAGCCTGGGATGAAGAGGATTCCATGATCATGTCGTGGTTGTGGAATTCCATGACACCCAAAATCAGTGACACGTTCATGTTTCTGCCAACTGCAAAGGCGATTTGGGATGCTGCACATGGAACCTACTCTAAGGTCCGTGATGCGGCTTTGATTTACGAGATTAAGATCAAAACAACGGCAGCCAAACAGGGAAGTAAAACTGTAACAGAATACGCTAATTGTCTACAAAACCAGTGGCAAGAACTGGATTATTACAGGGTAATTGACTTGAAGTGCAATGACTGTGCAGGGGCAATGAAAAGATTCATAGAAAAAGATCGAGTTTATGACTTTCTTGCAGGTTTAAACCCGGAATTTGATCTTATACGAATCCAGATCCTAGGGAAGTTGGAAATCCCATCCTTGGAAGAGGCAATAGCTTTAATCCGGGCTGAGGAAAGTCGAAGAGGAGTGATGCTTAAACCTGAAGCAGTTGATGGATCTGCACTCGCAACCTCTAGTAACAAACAACGGGGTCTCATCTTAGAACAACCGCCAAAAGCTGAACCTGGAAAAACGGAGGATAAAAAGGGAGCAAATCGAGAAGATCTCTGGTGTACCTACTGTAAAAAGCCACAACATACAAGAGAGCGTTGCTGGAAATTACATGAAAAATCTTCAACTAGCTGTGAATGGGGAAATAATGGAGGATAGCAGCAACGACAACAAGGCCAAGCATATAAGACCTCCCAAGGAAGTCAAGATCAAGCTCAAACTCAAGACCATAGCGGGTTGAATAATGAAGAGAGAGAAAAATTGAGAAACTTGCTGGGAACCCTTGAGAAACCATCGTCCAACACTTGCTCTTTGGCAATCTCGGGTAAGCACTCATTCTCTTGTGGACTAAATGCTTCAGATAAATTGTTTGTGAATTCATGGATTTTAAACTCGGGAGCTACGGATCATACGACACATGCCTCAAACCAATTTAAAACTTACACCCCGTGTCCAAGTAATAGAAAAATTACGATTGCCGATGGAACCACAACCACAATAACCGGGGTAGGGGATGTCCATATCGCACCTAGTCTTATCCTCAAAGTTTTACATTTCCCAAAACTGTCCACCAACCTTGTGTCTATTCAAAAGCTTACAAAAAACTTACATTGTCATGTTACGTTTTACCCTTCTTACTGTGAGTTTCAAGATCACGATTCGGGGAAGAAGATTAGATGTGCTGAGGAAAAAGGATGGACTCTATTACCTTGAGACGTCGAATTTTTCACATATGATCAGGAAGAGCCTAACATCCTCATTTTTTTCTTCCTCCAAAAGGGGTCTCATTTGGTTGCACCACTACCGCCTTGGCCATCCTTCTTTTGCAATTTTAAAAATTATGTTTCCTTCTTTATTTAGGGGATTAGATATTAGGGGATTTTGTTGCGACATTTGTGAGTATGCAAAACACACTCGTGTTTCCTTTCCTATTAGTAATAAAAGATGTTCACCTTTCTATCTAATCCACAGTGATATCTGGGGCCCTTCCACTACTCCAAATATCTCCGGTTCATGTTGGTTTGTGTCCTTTATCGATGATTGTACTAGAGTTACCTGGATTTTTTTGCTTAAAAATAAATCCGATGTGAGTAACATCTTTCCCAATTTCCACTTGATGATTCAAAATCAGTTTGGTACTAAAATAAAGAGATTTAGGTCTGACAATGCAAAAGACTACTTTAATCAGTTCTTGTCCCCTTTTTTCCAAAAAGAAGGAATCATCCAGGAATCATCCATGAGTCATCTTGCGTAAAAACTCCACAACAAAACGGGATTGCAGAAAGAAAAAATGGTCACCTCCTAAACACTACCCGGGCACTCTTGTTTCATCAAAATGTACCAAAACACTATTGGGGGGAAGCCGTTCTCACCGCTGCCTATATCATAAACCGAATTCCTTCAAGGGTGTTAGGGTCAAAAAGTCCAATGGAAGCTCTTTCTAAATTCTATCATGACATCAATACAAAACCTTACACCTAGAATTTTTTGGTGCACTTCATTTGTTCATGTCCACAACAACAATCAGGGAAAATTGGATCCTAGAGCTGTCAAATGTGTCTTTGTAGGATACTCTTCCAAACAAAAAGGGTACAAATGCTATCATCCACCCACCAAAAAGCTCTTTGTCTCGGCCGATGTCACATTTGCAGAAGAGAAACCATAATTTGCCCAACCTTATCTTCAGGGGGAGCCTTCTATTATAGAAGGCAA